TGTCCTTAACTCTTCTGTTTTACTACAGAAACAGCCTCTGTAGCACAGGAAGTGCTACAGGTGTCTGGCTGGGACATTGCAAGTCTAGTCTCTGTCCTTGCACAGGCTGTGGCTCAAAGGATGAGGTTTCTGCTGTTAGGGGACTCCTGCGTCATGTTCCCAGAGGATCAAGGCTGCCAAGGTCCTGATACTTCCTGTGCTGGCTGTCTGCGAGGGAGCAGAAGGCCACGTGGAGCGTTTCAGTGCCACCAGATGTCAGCTCTCTGTGTGTGACTGATTTCACACCCCTTCAGGCTGCCTGGTCACATGCTGTGACCTTCTCTCTCTTGCAGGGTCTGAGGGCAAGCCATGCTTACGGGAATTCACTGACCACAGCGTTGCTGCCTCAGAGTATCACAACCCAAAAAACTTCCTCCCATCCCTGATCGCTGAGAATGACACCTTCTTCCCTAGCATGGCAGAAGAAAAGGCAAGTGTCTTGTTTTGTTCCGCTACCAGTGTGAGGCAGGAGCCAGGGTCAGCAAAATGGGTGGGCAGCACCATATCCTGAGGGGTCTGTGGATGGTATAAGGATGGGGAAAAGAGGTACAAATACAGACTATCATGGGCTGGAAGGAATACAAGGTTGTATACAAGGTTCCTGCTGCTAGAAAAAATCATAGCTCTGTGATAACATAACGCTACTTGACATTAGTGGGAACAAGGCACAGAGAGACCTCGGGCAATATCCACAGTCCCCTCTAGCAAGCTGAGCAAGTGGGGCTGGGACAGTCTGACTGTGAGGTGCAGTAGGATGTTACAAAGCCTGGTGTGAGAAACCAAGCTGCAGGCTGGGCCTGGCTCGCTGCAGGTGGGCTGTTTGCCACAAGACACGAAAGGAAAACAGGTATGGCCCTGAAGGGAAATGCCCCCTTTGCAGGATATATGCAACGCCTTTGAGATGGCTGTAAGGGATTTGCGTGCTCATGCCATGCTAAGCTGTTGCTCCCTTTGCAGGAGGACTCGTCTTCCACAGAGCTGGACGTCCCAACGGCCGATTTGCACAGCAGCACGGAGGATCTCCTCTCAGACTCTGCTCTCCATGGCACGGAGTATTACAGAGATCTGGGATTTCTGAGCCTGCCAATTACCAGCACAGCACCAGAGACTGCATCACAGCCAGAACAAGCACCCCAAGCTGTATCTGCCTTTCGCTTATTGGAAGAGAGACCAGAGGTTTTAAGTAAAATGTCTGTGGATGTTGCTTTTTCCAATCCTGTCTCCTGCTCGGTACGTTACGGGGAGGCCGACTGCCACTTTCTGAACAGAGACCGTGTTTCCTCCTGCACAGCAGTGCCACAAGAGGGAACTGGCACCTCTGAGTGTCCTGCAGAGCCAGGCGAAGTGCTGGAGCTGCAGGAGGCTGAGGAGACCTTCCCCACGCTTGTGAGGTCCATGTCTACCTCACGGAGACACAGCTGGGAGAGCCCTGTATCACCCCTGGACTGCAAGCGCAGGTAAAGCAGGCGTGGGAGCAGTATCTGATATATACAGTACAATGATGTTGTGTGAGGCTGGAGCAATCACACTGCCCCAAGCAATGGCTGCTGCTGGGTGGTCTCCCTCCCTGGTCAGCATCTGCCAGCACAGCTGGAAGCCTACAGCTCATGTTGGGTGGGATGTGGAGGAACAGACGCTAGGGCAGCAAGAGGCTTTTATGTCTTCTTGGCAACAGGAAGACCCTTTTTTCCTGCTTTTGGGGCCAGAAGGAGGATCTCTCATCTCGGGAGAGCATATCTCTGCCTAGTGGGAACCATTCATTGAACAGTATCAGCTGCCCTGATGTCCTCTATACCCTGGCTCAGATGCAACTTTGCCCACTCCAGAGGGATGAAGACAGCTCTGTCACACCAGTTTTTCCTTCTTGTCAGTGAGCTGGCTTGGTGGAGTCTGTGCCTGCAATCGCAGCACTGTCCTCCTTCCCTCTGTCCTCCACGAGGCTGCAGAAGAAAATGTCTTTTGCGGCATTGCTGAGCTCTGGCTGGCGCTGGTTTCCAGGCCTGGCACTGTTGTCGCACTGTGCTCCTGTCACGTGAAGGCCTCAGGCTCCAGGTTTTTGCATGTGTGCTTTCCCTCCTGACAAACTATTGATCTTGCTGCTGGCTGGGAGTTGGGTGTAAGCCATTAATGACTATTTTTATCTTTCCTTCTTATAATGTGCCCTCAAATTATCTCAGCCTGAAATCTTGACCACTCTTTATCAAGCTCAGGCTTCGGTTCTCAGACCTATTGTTGTTCCATGTGCTGCAGATCAGTCACAGTTTATACTGTACGACAGGCACGTGAGCAATGGCGGCATAGAGCAGCCGTCAGAGCGTCAGGGATTTACTCGGTCCCCTGGCTGGGTGATTAAGCACGTGCAAGTGTGGGGCCAGGGAAGGGGAATATGCCCTGCTGTCCCCTAAGCAAATACTTCCTGAAGCCTGTCTCTGGCAGCAGGAGTGAAGTGACAGTGATCTGCAGACAGAATCCACTGGGGAGAGTAAGATTTTCCACTGAGCCCTATCCATCATTTTGCTCCTATGCTGTTGGCACTGTGACAGCACTTGGTGTTCAGGAAACCATGGTTAATTGGGAGGGCTGTTCTGCCCCTCATTTCCCAGAAAAGGATTTCTTTTTCCTTCCTTGAAGCTAGGCCATGGTGGGGACAGGATTTATGACATGATGCCACTACGGTGATTTGATAAACAACAACATATGCTATTTCTAAATGTCCAGAGGAACTTTCCTGGCATTGCAGCTACCAGGGCAGCAGCACTCACGCAGGCGAGGCAGGCTGCTGTTGGGGTGGCTGCACAGTCTCAGGGGTTGCTAAGAGATCAGCAGGAGCTGTCGGGCACTAAACATCCCTGGGTGGACCTGCTGACAGCAGCCAGAGCAGCTGCTTTTAACAGGCCCAGGACTTGGTGTCTGGGCTGATGCTTCTTGATGTTTCCCTTTCCACGTGCCTGCTGTGGTGACCCTGCCTTGTCTTGATTGCATGAGCTCCTCAGGCCTGTCTGTCCAAGGCCAGGGCATTGCATGGCGCAATGGGACTGGCTTGCTAAGCTGGCTTGTGCCTCTTTCCTGAATTAGGTTCAGCCTGGATGCCACAGAGATGGGCAGTGACCCAGAGCAGGAGGATGTGGCGAAGGGAAGCCTGTCCTGCCCGCAGCCTCTCGTGTCCCTTCAGCTGCCCAGGGGGGACCTGGAAACCTGGAGCCGCAGCGGGGGCGGCACGGTGATCAAAGTGGAGATAGAGCCATTGCGCCCGAACCTCGCGGTCAGCCCCAGCTTTGAGGAGGCGGTGAGTGTTTGAGGGCTGTGTGCATATTGGCAGCAGGGCAAGCTGGGGATGTGGAAAGCAACATGCGCAGGTGTCAGCTGCGGGCTGGATTCCTCAGATGTCAGCACCAAACCAGGTATGCCAGGGTGTTGTCAGGAATCTCAGCAAAGATGAGCTTTCTCTGCTCTAGGACAAACCGTCCCCTCTTGCAGGATAAAGGCCCTGAGGGCTGGCTGATACACAGCTCTCTTTTCTCTTATATCTAGTTGGAATTTGCCTTGTGGCAACTTGTGCGTGTTGCCTTTTTTCCTGTCACTGTGCACCCCTGAGAAGAGTCTGCCTCCATCTTCTCTGTTATCCTCTGTCAGGTAGTTAAGGCAGCAATTTGACCCCCCCACACACCCACCCTCCCCACACACAAACACACACACTTTCATCCTTTGCTTTTCCAGGGAAATTCTTTGGATTCAATTCATATTAAAGGGAGAATTGCATAGCAGTGCAATGTGTCTTAAAGGCACAAGTAAGAAGTGGGAAGTACCTAAGGAGGTGTCAACCACAAGACAATAAACGTCACAGTAGCACATACCTGCTCCAGCCTGCCCTGGAGCCCACGCCTGAAGCCCCACAGACGGGCTTTACAGGCTCCTGTCATCATAACCCTGACAAAACAAGAGAGGGAAGGGGCGAGGAGTCAGCCTGTTCCTAGTGGTTTTCCTCTATATTTGTTTTGGTTTTTTTTTTTTTTTTTGTGGCAGCTGCCTCACTGGTTCCCCACTGAGACTCTGGGGCAGAACTGGTGACAGGATCCATCTCTTGGGCCTTGGACTAATCCTGGGCCCTGCTACAGCTGTGGATGATGCCACAGCTATCAGCCCTGCAGTGAGGGAATACTCTGCCCAGGGCTCCCAGGACAGGGCACTCAGGCTAGGAGGCTGTGGGAAGCCAGGGATGGTCGCTGGCAATTAACCAGAGATGGGAGCCCTGTTCCCTGCCTTGCGCTTCACCAGCCACGCTGTGCCACTGATGGCGGTTCCCTTGGTGCACAAAGGACCAAAGATATCCATGACCTTTTACTTCTCCAGGAATATGGCAGCAATGGGAAGAGATTGAGGTCAAAGTCTGTCCCATCAGCCTGCGACAAGGTTGCCTCCCCTCAGATATCTTGCAGTTTCAACACTCCTCTTCCAGCCGTGGAAGGTTGGTATATACTAAATCTATGGCATTAAGTGAATTCAAATTTTTTGTGATTAAGAAGATACAAAACTAGAGATGTAGCCTCTGAAAGCCTAGCCATCCTCTGCCCTTCCTTTCCACATGGTCCCAGGAGCATCTGAAACAAAGTCAAGCTAACTTTGAGTCTGCTCTAGGCTAAGTGTGTAGTCTAAGTGCAGCCATGCCTGGCTCCAGAGACACATTGCCATATAACCTGTCTGTGGCTGGTGCATTGGTCATTCCCTACTCACACAAGGCAAAGATGGTATCCTAGGAACAAAATGCATCATCTTATCTGACTGGGTTTAAATGCCCTCCTTAGGAGGGCTTATGAGTCTGAGAAAAGAGAAATCCCTGCTCAGAAGATTTTTCTTTAGCTCCAGCTCTTATTGCAGCCTCTGATGCAATACATGATGATAGGACTCAGCTCATCTGAGAGCCCAGCTCCCAGATGGCCTATCAGCACCACAGCCATCACAACTGATGCAAACTTAACTTTGGCCATCTCTGTACTGCTGGACTCTATTAACCTCTCCCACGTGTAAGGACTGCCCTGGGGCAAAATGTAGAGTTGTTTAGAGCACAGCCTGGGAAGTGAGTGGAGGGGTAGCCAAGCGTGGAAGCTGGCTGGCATGGGGAGGGTGTCTGTGATGGTATTACCTCCTACCCTCTGGTTGCAAGCAGGATGCTCAGAAGTTACAGTGAAACGGACTGGAGAAGGGAGGGATAACACAGAAAAGCGATGCAACCTTTCCTTCGCTCAGCACTTCTCTCTCCCCATCAAAGGCAGAGTTTGAACCTAGCAGGATTAACAGGGTCTAATTGCATAGCTTGAAATATGATGCTCTGCAAAGGCAAACCAGAACCTCCCCTGCTGAGAGTGTTTTGTGTTTCAGGTATTGAACCCCCTGCTCTGGAGATGCTGGAGAAGGACCATGTGTCCCCAGACCATGTGTAGGTATTGTCAGTCCTGGAATGGCCGTGTTGAGATGGCTGAGATTCCTGAGTGCATCTGAGCTACTGGAGATCCAGCATCCAAACCATAAGGGAGATCCCATTCCATGCTGGGGCAGGGCTGAATAGTTGGTCATGAACCAGCATCTGATGCTTCATGGGGTGGAAAATGCCTTTGCAAGGAAATTTTCTAATCTCTCATTTTTCTTTTGCCTTCTCCTTGGTAGACTAATTGTCCAGCAGGTACTTCAGGAACTGAAACAGTATCATGGGTGAGTGCCTCTGGGAGAGGGAACTGGTAACTAGGGATGGCATAGGAACAGAGCTTTCCCTCTTGCACAGACCCATTTTGGAGAGCGCACGGAAATACTGATGCTTCCTCTCCGAGCCTGTGACCTAACATCCCTTCACCAGGGGGTGGAGGTCATGGGCCTGCCTGGGACCCATCTGGCAAATGACACTTGGTCCTCTGAGGACAAATCTCTAGGACACCAGAATCACTGTATTCTTCCAGTGTTCCTGAAATTAGGGTGAGATTGCAAGGGGAAGTAGCACTTTACTTGCCTGTTCTGTAACTCTAAACACATGTGACTGCCCATTCTCTGAAGATGGACCTTTCGGCTGACCCACAAGTTCTGCTCTTGTGTTTCGTGCTGCGTATCTGATGTCTTCTTCCTGCACAGGGCGAAGCAGAGAGCATGTGTGAAAGAAAGCAGTGATGCTTCCCAGCAGAACCTCACGTGGTTTGAGTTCCTGTCTAATGAGTAAGTGAGTGTGGAGTTGAGCAGTAATGCAGATGCTTTGTGTTCCCTGAGCGGATTCTGATTTCTAGTCCCTCTCCATCTAAGCTCTACTGCCCTGCTAATACTGTGTGCAGGACACTGGAATCTGCAGTGGTTCAGCCAGAACTGGGGCCCCCGTTGTGTATGGCACTGAGCAAAAACATAGAGGCAGCCAGAACTTACACAGATAATTTGAAAGCTCAGCTCCTTATTTGCAAATTTCCTCATGAAAGACCCGATTGATGCTGAACTTGATCTGCTGGGGGATGGAAAAGTCAGAGATGGGGTCCTAAAGTAATGCGCCAGGTGAACTCCATGAGTGATCTCTCTGAGAACTGTGCTTGCCCATTTAACTTCCCCATAGTTAAGATTTTTGGGGGCTTGTTTCAGAAATGAGGACAGTGGAAAGGCTGACAAAGCAGAGAGAAGCACAAAGGTGATGCGACGTCTGAGTTCCCTGCGGAGCCGAGTCACCGGGTCTTGGCAGAAGGATAAGGTAAGGGAGAGATGCTGAATCTGCAAGGGGGTTGCTGAATTCTCCAAGCAGAAAACACGAGCTGACCTAAGAGGCTAGCTGGATTGCTTTTGGATGGATGTGGCCTCTATACTGGTCAGCAGATGTATTGTGACCCCTAGTATTATGCACTGGACAAACTGATACCTGATTTTCAGCCCACCTTGTTTATGGGCAAGTTCCAGCTGCCCTGCAAGGGCTGCCCCAGGATGCTTTAGCTGTGTGACTGCTGGGTGGGTGCACTGTGGCAAGGAGAGCCAGCAGAGGTGCAGGTGTGCTGCAATGCCATGTCCTGCCCTTCATCACACATGGCCCTAGCCTAAAGGGACTGTCCCAATTCTTTAGGAAGGCATTTGGGAAAGTCACTTGAATCCCAAAGGCCCAGGCACTAAGAGGCCCATTGTACTTGCTATGGGCCAGCTCTCTGCGTGCTCATTTCTACTGATGGGGAAAGGAATGTGTGGGGAGTGCAAGGCCTGTAATGGAGCTGTGTTTTCTCTCCCTCCAGGGTAAGAACAAAGAGCAGCCAAAAGAGAAAGACAAGGAGAAAGAGCCAAAGGAGCCAAAAGAGAGGTGGAAAGAGATCAATGGGCACCAGCTTGTGCCAGGGGTTTTCTCCAGTTGCACCAGCTGCTCATTGTGTGCCAAACCTCTTATGAATAAAAGTGGTCTGCAGTGCCTGAGTGAGTATGGCTGTCACTGTCTGCCTCTGACCCAGCCTGGCTGTAACCTGCTTCCCAAGCCCCCTGTCTGGGCCAGGCTGGCCATACCCTTGCCTAAACCAGCCTCATGGATTGCTTCACTTTTCTGCCTGGCTTGACTGTACCCCACCAACCTGCTTGGCTGTTCTCCAGATAGGCTAAATGATCTCTAAATCATGCCTGGTTTTACTTCATTCTCATTATCTTTGGCCACCTGACCATTTCCTGCCCTATTCCCAAAAGGAGGGTTCTGGGTCAACTCTTCCTTTAATAATTTTTTTTCACAAAGTTCTGCTTTGCCCAAGCACCTATCCTTGCTGCCTGAGTGAAGCTGGATCTTTTAGGCTTTTTTTTTTTTCTCAGACACAGTGATTTGTCAGCTCTGCACCTGCTCTGTGAATGGGCACAAGGATTCCTAAAGCACCCAAAGCTTTATTAGCTAATCCAAAAGTCAAATGGCACCTCCCAGGACCTGCAAGGATGAGATTGTTGCTCTGCAGATCTAAGTAGTGCACAGGAATGGCAGCTGCTCCTTTGCTGGTGCGTGGGACTCTGTCCTCCCATTACATTCGCTTGGCATGCAGGGGACACGCAGGCCTTGCTGCATGGCCTTGGCTGATGGGCAAACCCTGCCTCTGCTCTTTGGAGCAGGCACTCAGGGCACTGAAGAACATTTTCTTTCCAGAGGCATTGTCTGTGTGCAAAATAAATCTTTTGGAAATGAGAGACTTGCTCTCTTTCTCTATCCTGTATCCTCAAGCAATGCTCACTCTCAAGCAGGAGACTCTCAGAGGCTCTTAAGGTCAGTAAAATCTTCCTGGGGCAGAAGAGAACTGGCTGCCCTTGGACATGCATTTTGAGGAGCATGTTTTCCTTTCAGGGCAGCTGAAGGGAAATTTAAAAGGATCACAGGCCTAGCTGTTAGTGAATGTTTTGCAGGTGTTGGAGCAAACAATAGCAGGGAGCTGAGTGAGAGCAAGTGCTTTGTGGATGTTTAGAGAGAACTGCAAGAGGAGGCAGAGTTATGCCAAGGCCTTACTCTTGCTTTCCAAGGAACCTCATAGCAGAGGCCCTGCTTGCAGCACAGCATGCTGCTTTACAAAGAGTATCTGAATCTGAGAGGATGCAGGTAGGCTTTGATCCCGAGTGCACCAAGAGCTTGGAGCCATGCTCTGCATGGTCCTGGAAGCTCTGAGGCCGTTTGCCCAGGATGGCATGAGTGATGCTTCTCTGAACAGCCGCTTTAGAGATCAGCGGTCCAGAGGGCAAGGAGGGGGAACTAGAGATGTGTCTAAATGGGAACATGGCTCAGCACATCGTTGTCCATTATAGATGTGTGAGGAGTTGGTTGTAAGTTGGAGTAATCTTTTCCTTGGCTCTTAGCCCTGCTGTGAGGAATCTGTGTTTCTGGGTCTTAATGACAGTCAGGAGAAAAACTCCAAGGTGACTGAAGAACCGGATGTCTTTGGGACTCTGTGACATCTCCTTTGGCTTTCTGGGTATGTGGGGATTATGCTGCCTAGGCTAATGTAGGTGGCTGGGCTGGAGAGCTTGTTTTAATAGGCTTCCTTTGTGGTGGCTTGAACTGAGGCTGAGCGAGGGCAGAGCTCTGACATGTTTGTTAAAATTATTGGCCTATCTGTGGTCAGATCTGGATTGGGACCTGTTGTCGGACAGCTGCTAGTCTGTTAGTGCCTGTGTTTGGATTATGCTGGGCTGAATGCTGAAACCTTTGCAAGATCCTTCTGGGCACCAGAGCTGATGGTTGATATTGCTAGCTCCTGCTATTGCAGCTAGGAGTGGTGCACTGTCTCCTGGCAAGTCCCTGATAGGGCTCTTGAAAAGGAAGATTTTGGGCCACAGCTCAGCCAGGGTGACATGACTACTTTTCTGAAGTGAGAGCTGCTCTGCCAGGTTTCAGTCTGAGCTGTGGTTGTTGCCAGCGTCTAAGAATATTTGGCTGCTCCTCTTGTTTTCTCATAATGAATTCACACTTCACCATCTATATGCTTTGGCCTGAAGCCAGCTCTCTGCCTGCCTCATGGTCAGGTGCTGTTGTTTATTTGTTATCTCCATGGTATTTTTAACTGCAGCACCACCACGTGGTAGAAGACAAAATAGGCTCATCTAAAGAAAACGGTAAAGAAGAGAGGGATGAGTTGAAACCAGAGGGAGGAAGAATGGGGGAATGGCTAGGAAGCCTTAGGTCTTTTTGCTGTCCCGTGGACACAAAGTCGGGTGGATACCATGATTGCGATGAAACAGAGGAATAAAAGCTGCTCTTATTTGAGAAAGTAACAGTAGGAGGAGTTGTGCTCTTAATTCAGAGCAAAAAATTATAATTCTGCTAGAGACATAAGTGTGTCTGCTAGAGACATAAATGCTGTGAAGAAGGTCAGCAGCCTGGGTAACTCTGTACATGGCACAATTGCTTCCCTCTCCCACCTCATGGTGTGGCCTCGCACTGTGGACATCTAGCAGTACAAAGCCTCCCGGCGTGGGAGGTAAGGAGTCTGCTGTGTGTCTGGAATATGAATGCAGGACAGTTTCTGCAGCTCCAGTTTCAGAGTCTTACAGATGCGATGTTAAGAGTCTGGCAGGGATGAAAAACAAAGAGGAATGCTTGTGGTAACTGGGATCCCAACAACAGTGGCCACCCAAACTTCACTGTTACATAAACTTTGAACTGTGAGCCTCTTGGTTTATTGTTCACCTGGAAATGGAGAAAGCTCTTTTTGAGCCTTTGCTGTCAAGGGTGGAAAAGGTTCTGTGCCTAAATTAATCCTTTCTTATAAACATGCTTCCAGAGTTTATGCAACAGGAGTTAGATGAATCCCAGGAAAGCCCTGACAGGAGGAGAGCTCTCCAAACAGGCTGTGCTGTGGAGGGGAGCCAAGGATATGCCGTTGAATATGTATGACAGAAGGATTGCTTCCCTCCTAGTGACCTGAGCTTGAGCGCTGGGGTAGAGGTGGGTCCTCTACATCTTTAGTTGAGAGCTACATGTCTATTACTTTATGGGAAAGATGCAGCTGTGGCCCCCTTAGGTTGCTCAGATAGACCATCGTCTTCAAAAGTTAACGTAGTTGCAACTAAAGCATTTGGCCAGTTTCAGACAAATTCCTTTTCTTTAAGAGAAGGCGCTTGGTTTACTGAATGTTCATGAATAATGCAGGCTGGAGGGCTGGCTGTGATTGCCATCAGACTGCCCACCTGTCCTAGGCTGACCCTTGCTGGCTGTTTCAGTCAACAGGCTAATTTATAACAAATGGTTCTAACATACAGTCTCCATGACTTATTTAAGACATATTGTGAAAGAGGTTTGCAGAACTGCTTCCTTTCTTCTAACAGTTCTGCGGGTAAAGGGAGGACATGGGTCTCTGCATTTGTCAGGCAAACATCTTTCGCTTGTGCTGTTTTCATCTGTAAAGGAAATGGGCCAAAATATCGCTTGGTCTGTACTTGAGATGTAGTGCATGAAATTCACCTCTCACTTTGCAGTTTTGTTTGCACACTTTTCCTTTTAGCATTTCCAGTGCCGCACCAATATGTGCTGCACTGTTCCAGTGCAGCTAATATGAGAAGGGTAGGCTTGGCCTACAATAAGGAGGACTTGCCTGATTTTCTGTCATGAAATTTCGGCTGCTAGCCCACCCAGAGTCCAGAGAAATCTAAAAAGCAGCAGGCAACCTGAAACTTACATTTCTGGAAGGAGACACAACTGCCAAAAAGCTTCTATTCTGGGGAAAGAGGTTTGGCTGCTGTAACATGATGACAGTGATAAATGGACTGGAAGTCCCACTTGGAATAAATGATTACTGACAGAAGTCCAAATAAAACAGGCAAATCCGGGGAGACTATGGGCTAATGCTGTTATAAGCCAGCAAAGCAGGATGTAAAGCAACTGTGAAAGTGGTCTGTCATATTGGTTTCAGAGGAAGCACTGACTGAACTGTGAATCTGCTGACAAACAGCTGGCCCTACTAGTCATTGCAACCCTACAGGGTTTAGAGAAGGAAGCTGCAAAACATATTATTCTGAGTCCTTCTCATTTTCCACTTTTCACTTTCTTCTCCTATCTGGGCGGTACTGCCTTTGCTTGGAACGTTTCCAAGCTGCTCTGTGCCTTCCCTTATAAAACCTCAGGATCTTACACACTGGGCCTGACAAATGCGTAAGCTGATTTGATGTTAATCTATCTGCTGCTAATTCAGTAAGAAGTGTTTTATTATTATAGATAATTAAACAGAATTAGAAAGTGGGTGCTATACTCCTCGCTGTGACCCAAACCTTAGCTCTAAGCTACAGAGTATTTGTGTTGGTTGCTGTGCCAGATTTTATACTGATTTTTGTGGAGATGCCCTGAGGCCAGCCATACAAGCACAGGATGTTCTCTCTGTGAAAACTGCAGTTGGGCAATCTGCAGTGCTTTACTTGTATATCATAGTGAAGCACAAAGTGTGAAGTGTCTAAGGATTAATCTGTCACTAAATGACAGCCAGCTGTTTACCCTCAAATTGCTTCATGTAGTGATTATTTCTTTGTATTACTTCAGTGCTGAGAGGCTCCAATAAAGGCCTAGGACTTCATTGTACTTAGTCCTGTACGGAAGCAGAACAAGAGCATTTCTGAAAAGCTTGCAATATAAGATGGAAAAAAAAGAAAACCCAAAAAACCATTGGTGGAACAGGTCACAACACGGAATCAAGAGAGAATATTGGTCCCATGAGGGTCTGTGATTTCAGCACGTTTCCAGCCCAACTGCTGTCAGGTTCTTTCAAAGCGGTGCAGGAAAGTTGTAGGGTGGATTTTGAGAGAGAAGTTTGTTTTCTAAATGTGTGTGTTGCATTTTCAAGCTTGCCAGGAATGCGGATAATAGCATGAATGCGCATGAATCAAAATAGGACAAACTTGCAATGGAGATCAGTATCATGAGTCCCCAGAGTGATTCAGAGATAAGGAGGTAAGGGTAGGCGATGGGC